TGCTTGAATTTTACTTAAATAAATTTTAGAGAACTTCAGAAAACAAAGAAGCTGAAGTATATTTTATTGGTCCTTCTTTATGGGTTGATAGTTTTTTACTTTTCATATACTTTAAAATAAGCAAATATATTTTAAAACTAATCAGAAATACTTTCTCTGTCTATTAGAAGTATACCCAAGAAGTTGAGGGTAGAGATGGCTCCTAAGAATATGAACTGTTTTGCATAGTCCATTATAATTTAAAGCTACTCTTATGCATTTTCCATAAACTCAAATTTGATTGGTTATAATTCATACATAGCTACACGTAAATTTATTTTTAGGTGACAGTGACCTGAAGTTTTTAAATTCCTTGGCCACATCTATTTAGGGTCAATTCGTTAATTAAAGTTTCTTAAGGCAAGCAAGGGGCTAAAGGGACTGAAATTTATTTATATTTCACTTGTTCCGTCTTCAGTTATTTTTCTCCTCTCCTCTCCCTCTCCTCTCCTCCTCTCCTCCTCTCCCCTCCTCTCCCCCTCTCCCTCCCGCTCCGCCTCCTCCCTCCCCTCGCTCCCTCCCCCTCCCTCCCTCCTCCTCTCCCCTCCCCTCCTCTCCTCTCCTCTCTCCCTCTCTCCTCTCCCTCCCTCTCCTCTCCCTCCTCCTCCCTCCCTCCCCCTCCCCCTCCCTCCCCTCCTCTCTCCTCTCCCTCCTCTCCTCCTCCCTCCCCTCCTCCCCTCCCTCCCCTCGCCCTCTTCCCTCTTCCCTTCCTCCTCCTTCCCTCCCCTCCCTTCCCTTCCCTCCCCTCCCTCCTCCCCTCCTCTTTTTCTTTTTTTTTGAGACAAGTCTTTCTCTGTTGCCCATGCTAGTGGCGTCATTATAGCTCACAGCAGCCTCAAACTCCTGGCTTAAGCAATCCTCCTGCCTCAGCCTCCCCAGTAGCTGGGACTACAGGTGCACACTACACAAACGCTAATATTTTCTATTTTAGTAGAGAAGGAGTCTCCCTCTGCTCAGGCTGGTTTGAACTCCTGACCTCAAGCAATCCTCTCACCTCAGCTTCCAGAAGTGCTAGGATTAAGATATAGCCACCATGCCTGGCCTTCAGTTAATTTTCTTAATAAAAGACAAAGCAACAACAAACCTCACTTCCCCTTCCCATTCTCAGATCCCAGTTACAAAATATGTTTGCTGTAGAAATAGAAAAACGTGGAGAAAGAAGAATCACCTTAGTACCCCCCCCTCAGCTTAGTATTTCTGTAACAGTTTGTATCATCGACTTCTTGTATTTTTTGCTGTAGTTAGAATATGCTCACACAGTCACTCATGTTATTGATTTGTTTGCCGTTTACAGTGATGGTACACACTGATTGATGTATTTAAATTTTATTTAATTTTTAATTTTTTTATCTTTTACTTTTTTCTTTAGTAGAGATGGGGTCTCGCTTTTTGCTCAGGCTGGTCTTGAACTCCTGACCTCAAGTGATCTTCCCACCATGCGCCTCTCAGAGTGGTAGGATTGCAGTCATGAGCCACAGCGCCCAGCCCGGATTGGTGTATTTTTTAAAAATAAACTTAGTATATCATTTATGGATCATTTATAATAGGTGCAGCTATTTCTTTGAGTACATATGTTACATTGCAATTTGTAATATATTTGTGTCTTATTCAGAGCATTTCTTAAAATAGTAAATTGCATCAGTAAATATCCTTGTAGACAAATCTTTTTGGACACCCATTATTTCCTTATGATACAATCTGGGACATGAGATTATTGGTTATGGGAGACACACTTTTCATGCTTTTGGTACATACTGCCAAACTTTCTCTGGAGAATTGTTACCCCCTACATGCTTGCCAGCATGTGGTATTGTGTAGGGATAAGCTCACACCCATTTGAGGTGCGAATTTATCCAAAATTTGTATAGTTCTTCTGAACTGCACAAATCACTTCCAGTGCTTCTGCACCATTTCCTCCTCCTCTCCTTTTGTTGTATTCTTCTGTATCCTTCTTTTTTCCACTCAGAATTTACAGAGAAGCTGGATTTGATCCAGGTTAGAGAATGAAGCTGCTCCAATGCTCTGCCTCCTCACCTGTTTCTTAGTGCATTTGCTATAAAGTATTTGATTCTGGGGGACTTTGTACAGCACCGTTTTCAAAATCATACCTATTTCAGTTGTAAATTTTTATTCATATTTGTGATTTTCATAGTTAATGTATTACATTTGTGAAGCAACCTCATGCCTTAGCATAGTGGTTGAGTGAACTAACCATCTCTGGAATGCTGCTTACCTGGTTGAGATGCCTAATCTTGTGTTGGCTAGCTGTGGAATCTAGGATATGTTATTTAACCCCTTCAGTCCTTCTGTTTCTTTACTTGTAAAATGAGATAATGCTAATACTTTATTCAGGATTTTGTGTGAGGATTTAAAAAGGTGATTCTTATAAAATACTCAGTACACTTCCTAATATATACTAAGCACAATAGGGTAGATTTTATTATGATCTCATCTGATTATCACAACGTTGAATCAAGCAGGTATTGTTTTTCTCCTGCTTTTGAGTAAACAAGAATGGAAAGCTGGAACACTTTTCCTATCTTCATATCTAGAAGGTAGTGGTGTTTAAACCTGAATTTAGACTTTTGATCTATAAGAACTACCTCAAAGTGGGAAAACCAAAGTCAGTGACAGGGATTGTGGCTAATTAGGATAATTGGGAATAGCATGAAAAATTTAAAAAGCTTTATTACAGGCACTTGATAAGTATAGCTTCCAAAAGCCTTGGTGACTGCCAGCAAGTAGGAGAGAAGATGTGCTTAGCTGCAGGAGAAAGGCAGGTTCCTGTGTGTTCTGGCGTAGGAGGAGAGGGTTCTGATCCCAAAGACTTCAAGACACAGAAGCAAAGAGTCTTTTTTTAAGTTTAACTTAACTGAACACTGATCAAAACAGCTGATAGTTTCTACTTTGGTTTAAATGCTTTAGCATATGACTGATTAGATTTTTATCCCAACTTGTTTCGACAGGGCATGGTGCTGATGTGAAATGTGTAGACTGGCATCCACAAAGGTTAGTTGTTTCAGAAGTAAAAGATAGTCAACAGCCAATCAAGTTCTGGGATCCCAAGACTGGGCAGAGTCTTGCAACACTGTAAGTGATAGGAACCCCACCTTGGTCCCTAAACAAAGGGGAACAAAGCTGCTGTGTTCTTAAATTTTTAGTCTTTTTCTTATGCTGAAAAATAGTTTAGACAACAGATGGATTGAATCTATAGACTTATTTTTCTTTTTTTTTTACTATAGCTTATTAATTAATATGATTGTTTCTAAATTCCTAATGAAATAAGGCTTGATTTTTGTTCTGCCACATAGACAAGAGTTATCACAGGGTGGGGGGAAGGAGGAAGAGGAGGAGGAGAGCAGGTGGTGTTATTACTGTTCTAAGTTTACTGTCTCTCCTCATCAGAATACCTTTTGGCACTGTGTGAGTTCACCGGTGTGCCACTTACTGTTAGATACAGCCCAGCCTTTGCATCTCACTACATCTATTTGTTAAAGAGTTTTCCCTCCATTTTTGAACAGTTCTCTTTTTTGTTTGACACGCTTACTTAGGATGCAGCTATAATACAGTTTTCTCTTTGAATTATTGTAAACATTCACAGTTATATGAATATGTTAACTTTTTTGACCTAGCAGCTGTATCGTGGTACTTTTGATTGGGAAGTGAACCATATTGGGGCGAATTGGTTGGAGCAAGGATGCCTTGTTGCACAACTCCAATGGCACAGCAATGTAGAATGCCTTGTCAGTGGTGTCCCTTGGAGATGTGCAGTGTGCAGGCTTTGGGTTGCTGCATTGTCTTTAGTTCAAATTGATCCCAACCTATGCGTCGCTTATTTTTATGCTTTGTCTTAATGAGAGAAATTTCATTGAATTTTAAAATTTAATGAGCTTTATTGAATATTAACTTATGTGTTCAAGTTGTTCACCTGCTCAGAGATAAACTTTCCTGTCCAGTCTAAGCTCTGCTATTTTAACTGGTTCATGAGGGATACGCTTAGGTAGTGGACATTTATTCTGTCATTGATGTGTTCTTTCAAGTATACTTTTAGCTATGGTCCTGTAATCTTCCATGCTTTATTATTTCTAGGCCAAACCTCTTGCCATTGATTGATGTTCTTCCAACAAAAAGGCCATGATATTGATTTGTATTGTTTTGAATTCTGAAAGATTTTCTTGGTGCGTTTTCTAGTCATGCTCATAAAACACAGTAATGGAGTAAAATTAAATCTCAATGGCAATTGGCTACTCACAGCATCACGTGACCACCTTTGTAAACTTTTTGACATCCGAAACCTGAAAGAAGAGCTTCAAGTCTTCCGAGGTCATAAGAAAGAAGCCACGGTCAGCAGCTGTGATGTGTTCCCTGCCCTGATGACTGTTGTCTGTAGCATTCTCAGATCCTAATTGTTTTGCTTTTTTCCATTTGTTTTACAGCTGTGCCTGGCATCCTGTTCATGAAGGTTTTGCCAGTGGGGGTCTGATGGTCTTTGTTATTCTGGCATGTTGGTATGTAAGATTTATTATGTAACGAAGTAGTGTTTTTTATGAAGAGAGGACCTGAATGTGTGCAAACATGATGAAGTTGTAATTTTGTTTTGTTGTTCATATGTTCTGTGTCAGGACTACCTACAGTTTCAATTCTGAAATCTAGCTTGGAATAAAAGTTACCTCTATTTGTGATGCAGAAGTCATTAAGGGAAAATAAAAATAGATTCCTGGTTTCTTATTGGTAAAATAATGCTTAAAACATCTTCCTCTCTGAAGTGCTCTTTGGGTAAAAGAATAAATTCTGATCACAAACCAATACCCCTCTGAAACATGTGTAACTGACCATTCAAAGGAACAGGCTTTGGTGCTTTGTTTAAGGCTAAAAGAAATGTCTTTTTTTTTTTTTTTTAACTTTTGTGAGAAAGACTTCTTTCTTTGGTGCTGTTGCAGGGTAGAGAAGGAAGTGTGGGATGGAGATGGCCCACGAAGGGATGATCTGGAGTCTGGCGTGGCACCCACTTGGACATATTCTCTGCTCAGGCTCAAATGACCACACTAGGTAAGCTTTGTATTGAAAAGAGCAAAGAATACTATACTCATGAAGCAGGAAGAAATAAATGTATTATACATTTATTTTATTTTATTGTGTATTAATTTATATTCCAACTTATCTTAGAAGCATACGTGGTTTTACAAATACTTATATTACAATAAGGAGATTGGATATTGAATATGACTTTGGTTATTTGAAATTTTGCTTTTACCTTTGATTAAAAAAAACCTTTTCACATTTTTAATTTTAGAGAAAGGCATTGAAAATTTATTGTGTTTACCAAGGGCTGCTTAATTCTAGTAAGTGCCAGTGCCCAGAAAACACTGAAACCGTGCTCTCCTATTCCCCAATTACTTTGACAGCAAATTCTGGACTCGAAACCGACCAGGTGATAAATGCGAGATCGATATAATCTAAACCTTTTACCTGGAATGTCTGAAGATGGAGTAGAATATGGTGAGACTCTTGAACATTTGTCCTTTGAAATCTGATATTCTGTTATAGAAGTGTTAGGTGTTGGGAAGATTATACAAAACTAATTTTTATCTTATAGTTTATATTGATTTATAAATCACCAGTGATGGGATTCATTTTATAAAGCATTAACTTTATTGGCCACTACTTTTAGAAACTTTCCATGTGTTTAAAATTATTTAAAAAAAAAAAGAATTTTCGTTAACAATGGATGTGTTACTATTTATAGATGACCTTGAACCTAATAGCCTGGCGGTGATTCCAGGGATGGGAATACCTGAACAGCTAAAATTAGCTATGGAACAAGAGCAGATGGTGAGAGAAGTTACAGATACATATTTTTCTTCATAACATTTTTCTAGACATGTTTATTGTCTTCCTGATACGTATATTGAACGCTATAATGATTTATGTTCACAAATGTTGAAAAGTGATATAAACGGCATAGTATCTAAAATCTTTTCCAAAAATGTATCATTGATCCAGTGGCCAGTTCTTTTTAATTTAAAAAGGAAACTACTTTTCTTTATAGGAAAAGATGAATCAAATGAAATTAAAGACATTCCAGGTTTAGATTGGGGGATGGAGGAGAGGTGGTAAA